AGCAATGATTTATAAGAGATAAAGGAGGAAATGATTTGAGTACCTGAGTAAAGACCATTCCAGGCAGAGGGAACAGCCAGGCCAATGCCCGGAAGAGGGAGAGTGACTGTAGTCTTCAATCAACATCTAGGAGACTGATGTCGTTGGAATGCAGTGAACAAGAGGGAGTGTCTAAGATGTAGTCAGATAAATGAAAGGATGGGTGGACAGCACTGAAGTGGGGCAGATCATTTAGGGATTTTGAGGCCACTAGAAAGTCTTTTTTACTTGAAGTGAAACTGAGAGCCATTGAAAAGTTATGAGCAGAAGAGTGACGTGATCTGACCTATGAAATTTTGGAGGCATATTTTAGCTATAGTAAAACACACAGGTCTTCAGAGTATCATTTGACATATTTTGAAAAATGTGAAATCTATGAGACCATTATCTAAGTCAAGATATAGAGCATTTCCCTCACTCTAAATTTCTCTCATTACCCTTCCTATGGTCTGAATATTTGTGTCACCCTAAAATTCATATGTGGAGGCCTAATCACCCAATTAGATAGGAATAATAGATTTGGCCTTTAGGAGGTGATTAGGTCATGGGGGCAAAGTTCTGTTGTAAAGGATTAGTACTTTGAAGAAGAGGCTAGCGAGAGCTTATTCACCCTTTCTGCCTTTCGAGGATGCAGGAATTGCCATTTATGAAGAATGGACCCTCACCAGACAGTCATTCTGCTGGTACCTTAATCTCCCCAGTCTCTAGAACTGTAAGCAATAAATTTTTGTTATTTATAAATACCCAGTCTAAGATATTTTCTTCTACCAGTAGGAATGGACTAAGACAATCCTTTATTATTTTGATTATTTCATTATGTGTATTATTTCCTTCTATTTTCTTTGTGTTTAATTTGCTCTTCTTTTCTAGCTTCTAGAAGTAGTGGTTTAGATTAGGGTTGACAAATGTTTTTTATAAAGGTCTAGATGGTAAATATTTTAGGGTTTTGGGGTCATACACTCTGTTGCAACTGCTCAACTCTGCCACTGTAGTGCAAAGCTGTCATAGACACTGTGTAATCAACTGAGTATGGCAGTGTGCCAATAAAACCATTAACGAAAATAGGCAGCAGACTGAATTTGATTTGGAGGCCATGGTTTGCTGACCTCTGGATTAAATCATTGGTTTCTGAATCTTCCTTCTTTTTTATTTTGGCCATTGCATTTTTTTAGTTCTAAATTTCCATGTAGTTTTTCTATTTCCTTATTTATCTGCTGAGATTCTCATTTTCTTCAGGGAAGTTTGTAATTGTTCATTGAAGCACATTCATAATGGCTGATTTAAAATCTTGGTCACATAATTTTATCATCAGTATTCATTTTGATGTGAATATCTGTTGTTTGTCTTTGCTCATTCAAGTTGAGATGTTCCTGGTTCTTGAAACAGGGATTTCCTAGTGAAAGTTGGACATCTTAAGTGTTATATCATGACAGTCTGGATCTTAATTAAATCAGTTATAGTTAAACTCTTCTGACACCACTCTGGTGGGAGAGGCGGCAATCGACCTTCTTCTCTCCACCATTCAGAGTTTTCTCATTTTTTATTTTTATTTTTCATTTATATAATATCCAGGGATTTGGCTGTATTTAGTGGGAGAAATAGGGAAGAAGACACATGCTGCATCTTAAAAGAATGCATTTAACGTATCCATTTGTTTACTTATTTTGAATTAAAATTTTAAATCTTTTTTAAGTTCAGGGGTACATGTGCAGGTTTGTTATACGGGCAAACTTGTGTCATGGGGGTTTGTTGTACAGATTACTTCGTCACCCAGGTATTAAGCCTAGTACCCATTAGTTATTTTTCCTGATCCTCTCCCTCCTCCCACGTTCCACACTCTGAAAGGCCCCAGCGTGTGTTGCTCCCCTCTGTGTCCATGTGTTCTCATCATTTTACTCCCACTTAAAAGTAAGAACATGCAGTATTTGGTTTTCTCTTCCTCCATTAGTTTTTTTTTTTTTTTAATTATACTTTAAGTTCTAGGGTACATGTGCACAACGTGCAGGTTTGTTACATTTGTATACATGTGCCATGTTGGTGTGCTGCACGCATTCACTCGTCATTTATATTAGGTATATCTCCTAATGCTATCCGCACCCCCTCAACTATAGGAGCTGGTATGTGATGTTCCCCTTCCTGTGTCCAAGTGATCTCATTGTTCAGTTCCCACCTATGAGTGAGAACATGCGTTGTTTGGTTTTCTGTTCTTGTGATAGTTTGCTGAGAATGATGGTTTCCAGCTGCATCCATGTCCCTACAAAGGACACGAACTCATCCTTTTTTATGGCTGCATAGTATTCCATGGTGTATATGTGCCACATTTTCTTAATCCAGTCTGTCACTGATGGACATTTGGGTTGATTCCAAGTCTTTGCTATTGTGAATAGTGTCGATAATGGCTTCCAGCTCCATCCATGTCCCTGCAAAGGACATGATTTCATTCTCTTTTATAGCTGCATAGTACTCCATGGTATGTATGTACCACATTTTCTTTATCCAATCTGTCATTGATGGACATTTAGGATGATTCCATGCCTTTGCTATTGTGAATAGTGCTACAGTAAACATACATGTGTGTGTATCATTATAACAGAACAATTTATATTCCTTTGGGTATATACCCAGTAATGGGATTGCTGGGTGGAATAGCATTTCTCTTTTTAGGTCTTTGAGAAATTGTCACACTGTCTTCCACAATGGTTGAACTAATTTCCACTCCCACCAACAGTGTATAAGTGATTCTTTTTTTCTGCAACCTCACTAGCATCTGTTTTTTGTTTTTTTTTGTTTGTTTTTTGTTTTTTTGCTTTTTAGTAATAGCCATTCTGACTGGTGTGAGTCGGTATTTCATTGCAGTTTTGATTTGCATTTCTAATGATCAGTGATATTGAGCTTTTCTTCATATGCTTGTTAGCCGTATGTGTCTTCTTTTGAAAAATGTGTGTTCATGTCCTTTGCCCTTTTTTAATGGAGTTGTTTGTTTGTTTTTTCTTGTAAATTTAAGTTCCCTACAGATGCTGGATATTAGACCTTTGTCAGATGCATAGTTTGCAAACATTCTCTCTCCCATTCCGTAGGTGGCCTGCTCACTCTGTTGATAGTTTCCTTTGTTATGCAGAAGCTCTTTAATTAGATCCCGTTTGTCAATTTTTGCTTTTGTTGCAATTGCTTTTGGCATCTTTGTCATGAAATCTTTGCCAATTCCTATGCCCTGAATGGTATTGCCTAGATTGACTTTCAGGATTTTTATAGTTTTGGGTTTTACCCTTAAGTCTTTAATCCATCTTGAGTTAATTTTTGTATATGGTGTAAGGAAGGGGTCCAGTTTCAATCTTCTGCATATCGCTAGTCCATTATCCCAGCATCATTTATTGAATAGGAAATTCTTTCCTCATTACTTATTTTTGACAGATTTGTTGAAGATCAGATAGCTGTAGGTGTGCGGCCTTATTTCTGAGTTCTCTATTCTGTTCCATTGGTCTAAGTGTCTGTTTTTGTACCAGTACCATGCTGTTTTTGGTTACTATAGCCCTGTAGTATAGTTTGAAGTCAGCTAGCATGATGCCTTCGGCTTTGTTCTTTTTGCTTAGGATTGCCTTGGCTATTTGGGCTCTTTTTTGGATCCATATTAATTTTAAAATAGTTTTTTTCTAGTTCTGTGAAGACTTTCAGTGGCAGTTTAATAGAAATAGAATTGAATCTATAAATTACTTTGAGTAGTATGGCCATTTTTATTATATCGATTCTTCTTATCCATGGACATGGGATGTTTTTCTATTCGTTTGTGTCATCTGTGATTTCTTTGAGCAGCATTTGTAGTTCTCCTTGTAGAGGTCTGTCACCTCCCTAGTCAGCTGTATTCCTAGGTATTTTATTTTATTTTATTTTTTGTAGCAATTGTGAATAGGATTGTGTGCTTGATTTGGCTCTCAGCTTGACTGTTGGTGTATAGGAATGCTAGTGATTTTTTCACATTGATTTTTGCATCCTGAGACTTTCTAAAAGTTGTTTATCAGCTTAAGAAGATTTTGGGCTGAGACTATGGGATTTTCTAGATATAGGATCACGTCATGTGAAAACAGGGATAATTTGTCTTCCTCTCTTCCTATTTGGATATCCTTTATTTCTTTCTCTTGCCTGATTTTCCTGGCTAGGACTTGCAATTCTATTTTCAATAGAAGTGGTGAAAGAGGGCATCATTGTTTTGTGACAGTTTTCAAGAGGAGTGCTTCCAGCTTTTGCCCATTAAGTATGATGTTGGCTGTGGGTTTGTCATAGATGGCTCTTATTATTTTGAGGTATGTTCCTTCGATACCTAGTTTATTGAGATTTTTTTTTTTTTTTTTTTTTTTTTAACATGAAGGGGTGTTGAATTTTATTGAAAGGCTTTTCTGGATCTATTGAGATGAAAATGTGGTTTCTGTCTTTAGTTAAGTGTATGTGATGAATCACATTTATTGAGTTGGGTATGTTGAACCAACCTTGCATCCTAGGGATAAAGCTGAGTTGGTTTTGGTGCATCAGCTTTATTACGTGCTGCTGGATTTGGTTCACCAATATATTGTGGAGGATTTTTGCATCAATACTCATTGAGAACACATGTTCATTTAATGTCATAAATTTCCCTCTAAAGACTGTTTTAGTGGAATCCTATAAATTTTGATAAATTGTTTTCTTATCATTTAAATGAAAATGTTTTTCCATTTTTTGGATTTCTTGTTAAACCTCTGGATTATCTAGCAATAATTTACAAATATTTAGGGATTTTCTAGATGTCTTTTGTTACTTATCTCTAATTTAATTCCAGTGTGGTTTGAGAATGCACTCTAAATTCATTATTTCTTTTGAATTCATTGAGACTTGTTTTATGATCCAGCATATGATCTATTTTAGTCAGTGTTCCATGTGTTCCTGTAAAGCAAGTATATTCTGATGTTACTGGATATGGTAAATGCCAATTAGGTCAAGTCAGTTAACAGTGTTGTTCAGCAAATTAAACATTCAAATTTAAACTCAGAGCATAGGGATGATGACATGTTCATTGCTTACCCAGGAGAATTGCGATACATTGACTTTGAAGGAGTTTTCACAGTGGTTGAGGGGGTTTCAGGTCTCTAATGCATCACCCCTCAGTTGACAGGAAGCTATCTCTACTTAGTGCCCCACTGCTTAACACTCCCTATGCCTGGTCAATAGATGAAGTTCAAGTCCCCTTAGCTCACCTCCAGGTTGCTATGTGACCAACTTACCTGGATATCTTTAGCCCTCATCATCCCCACCCACCTCCCCTGCACAGAGACCACTGTCCTGATCTTTTAAATGACTCATAGGTCTCTGCATGCCTGTGTTTCTCTCTCTTCTAGGTCTTTGCATAGGCTTTTTGTCTTCCTGGACGGACTTTCTCATAAGAGTACACCTCATCTTTCAAAAGCCTGCTTAGTAGAGCCTTCTATGATGCTCCCTATAAAGAATGAATCTTTTCACTCTTTCCCGGGAGTACTTTGTAAATATCCCATTGCAGAACTTCAGCAGATAAGCCAAGGGAATCTCCACTATGTGCAGGGCACTGTGCCAGGGGCTAGGACTCACAGGTGAGTAATATTTGGTTTCTGCTCTCAAGAAGTTTGTGGCCTGGTCTTCTTACTATGCCATAATGGAATTTTTAGCATATATGGCTAACTCTTGCTAAACTGCTTCCTGCTACACCTAATGGGGACAGACCTCTGCCTTCTAATATTTTTCTTCTGAGCACCTAGCATCAGACATGACACATAATAGGGGCTTACATACAAGACCAATCAAGTTATGCTAAGAATAAGACCTTTACTCTTAAGCCTTGTTACCATCAGTGGTGGATCTGGTGACTAAATTTATACCCTCACAAATTAGAAGTAGTTCCTCTACATTCTGGATTTATACTTAGAGTCATGCACTTATAGGAACTTCTTTCAGAGATCAGTTAATTAATCCAATATTTCTAAAAATGTGCTTATGTTAGACTGATGGAATACAAAATAACTTTTGGTAGAAGATGGATTAATTTTTTAATAGTTATTTATTTTGAATGTACATTAGAAAAATATACATGGCATACTTATGATTTCATAGACATTTTTTAACAAGTGTGTAAGCATAAAGACAAACATTAGATAATTATGTTTTTAAAAATAGAATGGGTAATAGGAAGGAATGGTAGAAATCATGAAGGCAGTACATGAATGAGAACAGTTTACTTATTTTATAGATGCCTACTAAGGCAAGAAAGAGTTTTACTCAGGGTCCCAGAGCTTGAGAGTGGCCAAGCAGGAATTAAGTCTCTGACCACATCACCCTGGTTTCCAGTTGGAGAACTTTCTGGGACACGGTCCTAGGTCCGGGTGGCTGCAGAGAGAAGGACAGACTGGAGCATAGGAATTTGGGTGTAGGCACCAGGTGTCCCATTTGGAGCTGTGGAAGAGTGTGGGAAAGAAAGAGGAAACCAAAGGGAACAGAGAGGACTGGGGTGTGATAATAAGCCTTCAGTTTCAGCTGGACAGCCAACACCGGTGGGTGGCCTCTCCCCTGGTTAACGCTCCTTTCTGCAGGGCTGGGGTAGAAGCTTTGCTTCCAGAGAGGCTGCTGCCCTTACCTGCATATTAATGTCAGTAGACCCCGGTACCAGAAAAGGGCCAAATGAAGGATTTTTTTTTTCATTCATATCCAGACAGTGTCTCTTTTTAATTTTGTTACACGATGTAGTACTCTTTGGTGTCTTTGGAATAGAGGTATGTTTTCATCCTGCTGGGGAAACTTTTCTTTGGGGATTGGATTGGAAGGGATAGAAGAAAAGAATCCCACTGTCCTTCTGTGTGCTGCACCCCATCCCACCCCTGCCAAAGACTGCAGTGAAGAGCAAACTTGGCCCTACCCAGAACTAGTTTTTGAGAGGCATCTGACCTCATCTGTGGGGATCTGTGAGCTATCTTTGTGCTGGAGTTGGCTAGCTCTTCTTGGAGTGAATGTTGTTTTTGGGTTCCTTGATTTCCTTGGAAGGGTCTCTTCTTGAAGTTAGATCTTTTAAGCCAAGATTTAGTGCCAAAAAACCTGCCCTCCAGGCTCTCACTGGAGAGCACTGCTTTTTTCATTTGTTCAATAAATCTGTATTAAGTACTTGTACATCAGGTGCTATACTGGGCCCTAGGGATATGATGGAGAAAAAGCAGGTAAGATCCTTATCCTCTTCTATTCTGGTGGGGAGACACCAATACATGGATAAATGCATAAATAGTGTGCAGATTGTCATTGGCCATGACAGGTGAGCTGGAGAGACCTGTTTTAGAGGGGTTGGCAGACTCTTTGGAGGAAGTGATAGTGAATTGTGACCTGCAGAGTAAGGCGGCAGTGGCCACATGAAAAGATCAGGATGGAACCCTCTCAGAGAGTGAGCAAGTACAAGGGGTGGGAGGTGGGGAAGAGTTTGGCACCTTTTCCAAAGGCCAGTGTGGCTGGAGTGTGGTGGGAAGAAGACCCTGGAGAGGTGAGCAGGAATTAGACTGTGCTGATCCCTGCAGGCCATGGTAGGGAGACTGGACTTTTGTGGAAAGAGCAGCAGGAAGCCTCCAAAAAAATCAACACCAGTGCTTATGGAGGAGGAAGTGGGCAATGCAGCTCCACTGGGGCTGACTTAATCCCAAACACCAGGAAGACGGACATGAGGCTGTGTCATCTTGTCCTCTCTGTCCTGCTGGATTTTGAGTAATATTTGCATCTTTTATAGAGAAACTCTCCAATATTAGACTTATAGACCTCATTCTATATAATGAATCATGTTGAAGATTTAAAGCTTTGAAATAAGTCCAATGAGAAATTTTCTTTACAGTCCAATACTAGGAAAAATTATTCCATCTTCTGAAAAACAGTATGTGTTTTTACTTCTCTTTGACATAAAAACACTACAGAACTGCCTTTAGTTTCCTTTCTCCTTTGGTTGCCTGGATGCTCAGGGTAAAATCCACAACCCCTGTCCCCCAAACAGCTGTAATATAGCCTTCATGATCTGCATATTTGGATTTTCCTATTTTAGTCTTGACTTCCATTTGGAAAAAAAAAATTCTTCCAGTCCTGATATTTTTTTTTCAAACCCCTTCTGTAGTGAATCAGGCATACATTTCTTTCTTTCTTTCTTTCTTCTTCTTCTTTTTTTTTTTAAAACTCACTTTCCCAAATGGTCCTCTTAACGAATCATGCCATCCTGCTGTGGCCCGGACCAGAATCCTTTCCATTATCTGGCTTCCTAAATTCCCACTTTGAGGGCCAAGGAAGTCCCATGTCCTCCACGAGCCCTTCCGAATTGCTGCTGCCCTCCAAACTCCTGCAGCTCCTCTGGTGAGCACCATTCTGCTTAGTCCTGGGCCAAGCCCTGACTTGCATTTTTCTTAAATGGTTTCTTGTATGTTAGTCTTCTCTCTCTAATTAGATTATAGTTTTAAAGTCAGGGACCAGAATGTAATAAAACTCCCATTTACTGAGTGCCTATTCAGTGCTAGTCTTTATAAAAATCTGCTTCCTAATGCTCTCAGTCTATGAGGGAGGGATTGTTTCTATTTATAGACAAGAAAACTGAAATTTGGAAGTTGACTGTAAATGTGACCAGAATACAAATGGGTAGAGCCGGAAGTCACACCCTGCCTGGCTCCAAAGCCCATATCCCTGGGGCCACAGGATTCTTTACATTTCTGAACTTACTGTGGGCTCCCAAGAAAAGCTGCCTCTCATGTGACCATGGGGCCATCTCCCACCTTCTTTCTGTGGTTTGAGGTTCTTCCAACAGACAGTAGATTTTCATTTAGGGTAAGAAATTATATTCTAATGCAAATAACCCTACAAAAAGTCACATTCAACACTTCAGCACAGAGTTTTCAGGCACCTAATGGGGACTGGGTCCCATCTCAGATGTTTGGAAGGACACGGAGGTGAATACATGGTCTCTGTCCTCAAGGAGCCCATGGTCAAGGGCTCAGAGTGGGTTCTTTCCTGAGCATTTGCTTTAGGGGCAGTGAGAGGGTGCTGCCCTTGTTAAAGTCACAGAGAGACAGGGGCAGGCAGAGAGGCCACTGGTCAAGTCCTGGGTTATTCTTTAGTTTATTCATTCAAGAGATATTTACTGAGTAAGTGCCTGATGTCAGCCAGGTTGTTGCTGGCACTGGGGAGATGGTGGGGAACAGTACATTTCCACATCCTCTTGGAGCTGATGGCCTGGAATGGATAGAAAGATCAGGAACAAAACAATTAAACAGACCATATTCTACATGAGGGGTTGATATGTAGTGGAGGAAAATAAAGAGGGGAAGGGCATATATATGTGCATGAATGTGTATGTGTGTAGGGGGATGGGGAGCAGCAATTTTCAGTTCAGGAAGGCCTCACTAAGATGGCATTTGAGTAAAGAACTGAAGGAGGTGAGAAAGCAAGCCACAGGGATCTCTAGAGGAAAAGCATTCCAGGCAGAGGAGAGTGATGTTAGGACAGGCCTGTGGCAAGATTGTGGCTGGCATGTTGGAGGAACAGGTAGGCAAGTGTGCCTGGACTGGAGGACATAAAGACAGAACAGTGGGAGATGAGGGCAGGGATGAGGGCCGGATGGCTCCATGCCTGGTAGTCCCTTTGAGGAGTTTGGTTTTCACTCAGAGAGTGATTGAGAGTCACTGGAGGCTTTGAGTGGAGGAGGAACATGATATAACTGACTCACTATGGCCGCTGGGTTGAGAATGGACATAAGTGGTGCTATGCAATGAATTATGTCCCCTCAAAAGTCATGTGTTGAAGCCCTAACCTCCAATGTGATAGTTATTGGAAATGGGGCCTTTGGGAGGGAATGAAATAATGGAGATGAGGTGCCAATGATGGGATTAGTGTCCTTATAAACAAGGGAAGAAAACCAGAGCTCTCTGCCTGTAAGTAAGACAGACAGAAGATGGCTGTCCGCAAGCTAAGAAGAAAGCCCACACCAGGAACGGGGCTGCTGGCACCTTGAGCTTTGACTTCCCAACCTCGAGAATAGTGAGAAACATATGTCTGTTGCTGAAGCCACCCATTTCATCGCATTTTGTTATGGCAGCCAGAGCTGACTAAGACAGTGGGGCAGAGCTGAAAGCAGGGAAACCCACGAGGAGATAAATGATGGTGGAATAGAGTGTAGCTGGGAGGTGGTGAGAAGTTTCATTCTGGATATACTGGAAGGGAGTGATATGGGTTGTAAAACAGCAGATGAAGGATGACTTTGAGGATTTGGGCTGATACCATGGAAGGATGGAGTTGCCATTAATGAGATGAAGATACCAGGATGAACACATCTGGGGAAAAGAACAGAGGCTTATTTGTGAGTATGTTAAGATTGGACACCTATTAGCTATTTCAAGCAGAGATGTTGAGCAGGTTGGGGGTATGTTTATGTAGAGTTCAGAGGAGAGGCTCCAGATTGGAGACAGGAACCTGTGCTCGGATTCTAGTACCAGCATTTGGGAGATTCGCATACTCTGAGCCTTATTTTCCTCATCTGTAAAATAAACCTAATAGTACCCTTAATAGTGGAGAGAAAGAGAGAGGATAGAAA